TCTCCTCCACCACCTCGTCTTCCTCCCTCTCCTCCACCACCTCTTCCTCCCTCTCCTCCACCACCTCCTCTTCCTCCCTCTCCCCCACCACCTCCTCTTCCTTCCCCTCCCCACCACCTCCTCTTCCTCCCTCTCCCCCTCCCTCCTCTTCCTTCTACTCCCCAACCTCTTTCCCCTCCCCTCCTCCTCCTTCCCCCCCCTCTTCTTACACCACCACCACGCCCGCACGCACGCCCACCCTCCTCATTCCGTGTGCCTCTCCTTCGTGTGCTTCCACGTCTCCTGGGCGTGTTGTGCGGGCGTGGACGGGCGGCGCAGGGGGCGTGTGGCCTGTTTAGTCTCCGTCGTGGCCGCTGGGGCTGGCTCTCCACCGGGCAAGTGGATGAAGTGGAAGACGAAATGGTGTAGGGGACGTGCGCTCTCGGCGGCCGCTCGCGATGTGGAGAGGAGTGTGCGGCCGGGCCGAGTGCGCGGCAGTTGAAGTGAGGCCATGTGGAGTGCAGGGGTGGCCGTGGCGCTGCTCCTGCCATGTTGGCGCTGCCGCCTGCCAGTGGGTGTGTGTGTGTGTGCAGTGATACAGTGAGCTTTCGGTGACCAGCGACCCTGGCCTCTGAACCACCGGTCCGAAAAGCCCTTTGCGAGGCGAGGAATGCCTCCAGCTCGGCCTCCTTCTACCCCCCCTCCTCCTCCGCAGTCGCCGCCCTCGCCTTCGCCGCCGCCTTCATCGTCCTCGCCTCCGCCGCCGTTGCCGCTGTGCCGAGAGCGGAAGGGCACTGCTCACTCCTCCTTGAGGGCCACGATGCTAGCTAGCAGCAGCAGCATCAGCGTGTGGGCGTGGGCGTGTGGGCGGCGGGATGGGTGTTGGCTCATGCCCACCCGCGGCCCTGGAGTGTGTGCTCCTGCTACTGTAATTTGCCTTGGCGAGCACGACCAGCAGACGGCGACGACGACCACGACCGTTTTGCCGACGACAGCGATGACTAAGAGGGCGAGGACGACCCCGTCAGCCCGGCAGCCTTCCGAAACCAGCACACGGCTTGCCTGGTTGCTGATGGTTGGCGCGGCCACCGAACCGTCGTCAACAGAGCCTGGTATGTAGCGAGAGTGTGTGTATGTATGTGTATGTGTAAAATGGATGTGCGTATGCCTGTACGTACGTATGTGTGTGCGCACATGCGTGTACGTGTGTATGTGAATGTATGGACGAGTGTGTGTGTTTGTATGTGTGTGTGCATGTGTGTTGTGATGGGGAGGGTATGGCCTGGGTGCCAGGTGGGTGGCCTTCGAGCGTGGGCGCCATTGTGTCGGGGCGCGGCCAGGGGTACGGTCACCCCAACTACCACAGCACACTGCACTACCTTCTCTCCTCGTCGTCCTCGGCTCTTCCTCCTCTCCTTTTCGCCCTCTTCTTGTCTCTTATTCACTCTTCCCTCCTCTCGCGCTCTCTCCGTCCCTCTCCCGTTCTCTCTATCGCTTCCTCTCCTTCTATCTCCTCTCCGCACCGGCTTCCTCATCCTCTCCGTCTCACAGACGCCCTCCGTCGCATTCCCCGACTCTCACCCTCCTTTGCCTCTCTTCTGGTGCGGGCGGGATGGGCGTGGGAACCATAGTAGCAAGAAGGAAAGGAAAAAGAAAAAATGGAGAAGGAACGATAACAAGAGGTGCCATCATGCGTGTGTATTCGTCCCCAAAGAGCTAGCCAGCCCTGGCACTACACGCATGCACGCGCGCGCGCGCTTTCTCTCTCTCTCTCTCTCTCTCTCTCTCTCT